TGTGTCCCTCTCTATAGCTCTGCCTTTCAAATGCATAAATAAATCTTAAAAAGAAAAGATATTTAAAGAATATATAAATATAGGCAATCCATCAGAAGATATAGCAATTATGAAAATATACTCAACAAGTAGCAGAGTCCTAAAATACATGAGACAGCAGCTGACATACTTGAAGGGGTAATATGAGACACTTCTGCAGTAATACTTGGATATGTCAATTTCCCACTTTGAATAATGAGAAGAAAATATAGGTAGAAGACCAGTGAAGATGCAGAGCACTTGAACAACACCATAAGCCAACTAGACCTAACAGATATATGAAACATTCCTCTCAATAATAAGAGAAGGCATGTTCTTCTCAAGTTCATATGAAATGTGCTCCAGAATAGACCATATGTTAGGCCATAAAACAATTCTCAAGAAATTTAAAGGGTTGATATCATACAAAGTATCCTTTCCAACTACAATGGGATGAAGCTACAAATTAATAACAGGAGGGAAATTGGAAAATACACAAGTATACAGAAATTAAACAACACAGTCTTAAACAACCAATAGGTCAAATGGACAATCACAAGGGAACCTACGGAATGCCTAGAAACAAGTGGAAACAAAAATACACAGGCCAAAACTTATTGGATGAAGTAAGTTTAGTGCTTAGAGGAAAATTTATAGCTCTGAACAACTACATTAAAAAGGAAGAATGATCTCAAGGCACTAACCTAGATTTTACTTTATGGAACTAGAAAAAGAAGAGCAAACTAAATACAGAGCTATCAGAAGAAAAGAAGAAATAAAAGAGCAGAAACAAATGGAGGGTAGAGAAACAGAACCAACTAAACCAAAAGTTGATTCTTTGAAAAGAAAAACAAAACTTGCAAACCTTTAGCCAGACTGATAAATCAAAAAAAGGGAGATCTAAATTTCACATCAGAAATGAAAGTAGGGACAATTCTGCTAATTTTACAGAATTAAATGAGATTATGTGTGAGTACTGTGGTATCAACAAATTAGATGCCCTAACGAAAATGAGTAAAGTCCTAGAAATGCAAACATTATTAAATTGACACAAATAAATAGAAAACATGAACAAATCCATAAAAGCAAAGCGATTGAATTAATTAAAAGTCTCCCAGCAAAGAAAAGTCCTGGACTGGATTGTTTCATTGTTTGAAAATTCAAAAAAAAAAAAAATCAACCCCAATACTTTTCAAACTTTTCTAATTAAGTAAAAGATAAGGGAACACTTCCTGGTTCATGCTGTGAGACTAGTACAGTCCTGACACCAAATCCAAACGTACTGCAAGAAAAGAAACAAGCAAAAACCACCACTGACCAGGGTCTCTTATGAATATAGATGCAGAAATCCTCAACAAAATGCAGTCCTGTGCTACATAACAGTTTTGATGGATGACCGAGGACAAAAAATGTGAAGAAAAAAAATCGCAGTATCATTTCAATAGACAAAAATAATATTTTTGAAAATCTGTGTTTTCATGATAAAAGCATTCAGAGAACTAGGAATATAAAGGCAATTTCTCAATATAATAAAATCCTCATATGGAAAACTCACAGCTTAATATCATACTCCATAGTGAAAAGCTGAGGGGCCAGGCGCTGTGGTGCAGTGGGTTAACTCCCTGACCTGCAGAGCTGGCATCCCATATGGGCGCCAGTTCGATTCCCGGCTGCTCCACTTCTGATCCAGCTTTCTGTTATGGCTAGGGAAAGCAGTAGAAGATGGCCCAAGTCCTTGGGCCCCTGCACCCATGTGGGAGACCTGGAAGAAGCTCCTGGCTCCTGGCTTCAGATTGGCACATCTCCGGTCGTTGCGACTAACTGGGGAGTGAACCAGAGGATGGAAGACTCTCTCTCTCTCTCTCTCTCTCTCCCTCTCTTTCTGCCTCTCCTCTCTGTGTATAACTCTGACTTTCAAATAAATAAATAAATAAATTTTTTTTTTAGAAAAGAAAAGCTGAAAGGTCTCCCCATAATGTCAGAAAGACCGGGATGTTAACCATTACAGGTTCAATTGTGTTCCCCCAGGGTTCATATTTTGAAACCTTAACTCTCGGTACATCAGGATGTGACTTATTTGGAGTTAGGACATTTATGATGAACATGATCCAATCTAACTGGTGTCCTTGTAGAAAGAGGAAATTCAGATATGCAAACAGACACCAAGGAAGTGCATGCACAGAGGAAGATATGTGGGAGGACACAGCCAGAAAGCGACTATCTCCAAACCCGGGAGATGGGCCTCAGATGAGAACAAGCATGCCAATGCCTTGGCCTTAGACTTCTGATCTTCAGAACCACTAGAAAACAACTTCTGTTGTTGAAGTCACCCAGTCTGTAGTGCTTAGTTATGACAGCCCCCACAACCTGGTCCATCCAGACTTTGTATGGGAAGTGGAGGGTTGCTGCTGTGACAAACACCTGGATGTGTCTGTAGAACTGGGTAATGGATAGAGGCTGGACGACTTTGGAGGTGCATTTTTAAAAGTATTGACTGCATTGAAGAGACTTCTGGTGGGAACTGGCGCTCAATGTCTTGTGGTGAGGCCTCAGCTGGAAAGCAAGAACATGTTATTGGACACTGGAGGAAATGTGATTCTTATTATACAGTGGAAGAGATTTGTATACCCCGAGAGACACCAGTGTGTGTGCACAGGGGAAAGACCATATGAAGAGGGAACAAGTCAGTGACCATCTGGTAGGAGTGTAAAATGATACATGTCCTGTGGAAAACAATTTGGCAGTTCCTCAAAAACTCAACATATAATGCCATGATACAGCAACTCTACTTTTTGATAAATATATAAAATAATTGCAAGTAAACACTCAAACAAATGCATATGCCTGTGTGTTCATACCAGCTCTATCCATAGGAGCCAAGAAGTTTTTGTAATCCAGTGACCATCAATAGGTGAATGGATGAACATATCTTCCTCCACACAGTGGAGTGAAATTCAGCCATAAAAAGAGCACAGCACTGGTTTGTGATGCAGTCATTGTTGCCAAACCTTGAAATTCAGTCTCAACAGGGTGAGTTTTCATTTGAGTAACTGATTACAGGCCCAAACTGGATTGTTGCAAAAGTTAGAAAAATATCACCTTGTTGAGACTGAATTTTATTAGCCTTTAAGACAATAAAAAGTTTGAAATAAATGGAAGCAGAACTCAAGGGGAAATAGTCTTTTCAACTGTTCTCAACCCTGCTATGGCTTTTATTGCTTTCACTGGAGAGAAGTATTAACAGAGAGACGTTTTCTTAAGATCAGTTAAATAAAGTTTGATTATGTGCTATATAAACAAGTAGGCTTTACTTGTCAAGTATTCCCCTATAGTAACATTTCATTTGAGAATGAAATAATATAGATATATTTTACTGATTTTTCATTATATTTATGATGTTTTAGACCTTTACACTTCAGCTTCGTGGTGATTACAAGCTTTTCCAGAGGGCATATTATGGGCTGCCCTGTCCCTGGTCCCTGTATGCAGCACATCTGAGGCCCTCAAAGCAGTTATGAACAGCACCCTGTCCAGTTCAGAGCAGGCGTGTGGACAGTCAACCCTGCCACAGCAGTTAGCAGGACCCCAGAGGGTAGGGCTCACACAGTCTCTGAAAGAGGCAGGTGTGGAGTTACATAGTTTTCGTGGTCTGCCTTTGTCCCACTGATAAAAATGGTACAGATTTTAATGGTGACTCCTTTTGAGCTACACAAAATGTATGAATTACAACTATAGATGAAAAGGCTTCAAAAAGTTCCTTGGAAATACACATTTTGCCTTTTTTAAAAAGACCTATTTAATTTATTTGAAAGAGAGTTACAGAGAGAGGTAAAGACAGAGAGAGAGAGAGAGAGATCTTACATATATTGGTTCACTCCCCAAATGGCCACAACAGCTGGAACTGGGCAGATCCAAAGCCAGGAGCCTGGAGCTTCTTCTAGGTCTCCCATGTGGGTGCAGGGGCCCAAGGACTTGGGCCATCTTCTACTGCTTTCCCAGGCAATCATCAGGAAGCTGGATTGGAGGAGCAGCTGGGACACAAACCGAAGCCTGTATGGGATGCAGCACCACAGGCGGAGGCTTAACCTATTAAGCCACAGAGCCAGCCCAGCACATTCTATCTTTTAATGTCATTTTTCCTGAACCATTTGAAGCCTCCTTGTATTTGTTAATGTTAAGCCACACTCAACACTGTGTGTTAAACTCTAGATGATTATGATATAAAAGTTGAGAATATACAGAGATAAAAAGAAAGGAGACAAAGAGATATAGATGATGGTGATAGATGATATACAATGTATGTGTATGTGTGTATATATATAGAGAGGTGTGTGTGTGTGTGTGTATATATATATATATAGAGAGAGAGAGAGAGAGAGAGAGAGATACAGTGCTCCCAATTCACTATTTCCCTCCAAATCTGGGAGGGAGCTGGGAACTCAATCCAGGTCTCCCACATGGGTGACAAAGACCCAGTTACTTGAGCTATCACCTGCTGCTCTCCAGGGTCCACATTCAGAAGAAGCTAGAATCAGGAGCTATAACTGGAACTGAAATCCAGCCACTGCTATGTGGGATGCAGGCATCCCAAGTTGTGTCTTCCACTAGACCAAATGTCAATCCCAGCTTTGCTTCTTTTTCCACTTTCTGGAAACACTTTCATAAGAGAAGGGTTATCTGTTCCTTCCACATTGGTGGCACTTTTCTGGACCAGGACCTTTCTGTAGTTCTTCTGTACCATGTCTTATAATAAGTAGAAAAGTATCTTTCTTTTACAGTGAATTTTTAACAAATGCAAGGCAAAGGGACTAAGCTTGTTGCTATAGATCAATAATTAAGAAAACATTGATCACACTTCATATCCTGTGAGTCAGTCTACACAGGAAGTTATCCAAAAGCACTTTCTATGTGGATCCGTGCAAGAGTGAAGTGGGTGATTCAGTGTCATGATCTCTCAACATCCCGTGCTTTTTTTCCTACAGGACACACAGGACGGTTGTTGAAGTCTCTGTGCCTCACCAGCCTCTCCTTCCTGCTGCTGCACATCATTTTCCACATCACGTTGGCCAGCCTTGAAGCTCAGCACCGCATTGCACCTGGTTACAACTGTGAGTAGGGTGCTGATTTGTTTCTTCATATTATGTTCACGCATAGCAAAACTGTTGTATCCTCACACTCATAGAAATGTATGCAATGATTACATTACAAAATTCATGGTGATTCTGGGTCAGTTGGCAAGCCAGTGTAGTGCAAATACATACAAAGAAAATTATGTCATGAAACCAAATTAATAACTGAACCTTCAACATATATAATACATGGGATCCCTTATTGTGTAAGACATTATCATTGGACTTAACGTAAAAATCAAGATTTATAAATACTCCCTGCAGCTTATAGAATGACTAGTCACAAGGCACATGTACAATTTCTTGTTTAAAAACATTTATTTATTTATTTGAAATAAGAGAGAACTTCAATCTGCTGGCTCACTCCCCAGATGCCTACAACAGTTGAAGCTGGGAGCTCTGAACTCCATCCAGGTCACCCACACCGTAGGCAGGGACCCATATACTTGGGCCATCGTCCACTGCCTTCCCAGGTGCATTAGCAGGCAGCTGGATCACTAGCAGAGTAGCCAGGACTTGTACAGGCATATGTGATGTGGAGTTGTAAGTTGTGGTTCAGTTAGCTGTGCCACAGTGCCTACCCCTACACACATAATCTTTCTAACATGATGGAAGGCCAAAAGATGAATAGTGTTGTATGAATTACATGACAGTGACATCTGTCCTATTGCAAAGCATAATGTAAAATTTCTTATATCTTTATGCAAAAATGTAGTGACAGTTTCTTTTTTAAGTTGGAAGGTATTGATTTCACAGGAAATGCTACATCTCATGCTCACTGTAGTTTGAAGTTGTGATCCATATTGGTCCTTTATTTAGGTATGATCTTTCCAAAATGAACCTGCCATTGAGTCAATCACGCTTCAGTGTTGGTCAGATGTATAATTGTCACTTGAAAAAGCATGCATTTTTAATAGATGGAATACCATCCATATGTTTTAAGTTAAACCTTAAGAAGCCCTTGGATATTTGAAATACTCTATAATAACGATTTTAACATGTCAATTTGTTCTTTAAAGCACCCATTTGTGGGTTTGGAAGTTTCCTGAATGTTTTTTTAAAGATTTATTTATTTGAAAGTTGGAGTTACAGAGAGAGAGAAAGAGAGGCAGAGAGAGAGAGAGAGAGAGAGAGAGAGAGAGAGTGTGTCTTCCATCCGCTGGTTCACTCCCCAGTTAGTCGCAATGGCCGGAGATGTGCCGATCTGAAGCCAGGAGCCAGGAACTTCTTCCAGGTCTCCCACATGGGTGTGGGGGCCCAGAGACTTGGGCCATCTTCCACTGCTTTCCCAGGCCATAGCAGAGAGCTGGATCAGAAGTGGAGCAGCCAGAACTTCAACCGGCGCCCATATGGGATGCCAGAGCTGCAGGGGGTAGCTTTACCTGCTAGGCCATAGTGCCGGCCCCTCTCACTCACTTGTAATGCAGGGTCACACAGACTACATTGTTCCTGGAAATAAGACCAACAAAATATGTGCTCATATTTGGTCTGGAATGAATTGGGTATCTTTGTAGAAATTAAGATTCATATTTTACCACTCACATTTTGGAATCTAGCATGCATATAAAGAAAACCAGTGGCTCTACCAGCTACACCACAGCACCAGCCCCTCATGAATGTTTATAAGTACAAGCACAAGTAATATGATGTAAATCTCTCCTTGCCAGTACAATAAAAAAGATTAGAATATTCTATAGATTAAAGAGCTTTCCCTTAAATATAGTGGAAGTTTCTTTCAGAGAATTCATGTTCTGAAGTTATTAAGTATCCCTCATTGCATAACTTTTAGTTATAGAGAGAGCTAGAGTTAGTACTCATATTATATGAGTTAGTACTCATATAATTGATTTCAGAGTTCCTTTGATCACAATGCTTGCCAAGATGAGCTTTTTAAAGATATATTGTTTAAGGTGTTGTTTTTAAAATTGGTCTATCGTTCTCATCCCATAAAACTCACTCATTTAAAGTATACAATTCAATGGTTAATATGGTTAAAAGATTGTGCAACCACTATCTGATTCCAAAATACTTGGCATCACCCCCAAAAGAAATTCTGGATACATGAACAGTTATTCTTCATTTCCTTCCCAGCCATCCCTAGGCAGCCACCACTTCCTTTCTGTCTCTATTAAGTTTACCTATTTCGGTCATTTTATCTAAATGGAGTTACACAATCTGTGGCCTCTTTGTTTCTGTCTTCTTTTACTTAGCATAATGTTTTCAAAGTCAATCCATGTTGTAGCATGCACAAGTAATTCATTCCTTTTCATGACTGAATAGTATTCAATTTTTAGATGTGAATTTAATGTTTGCTGAAAATCAAATGTGATGCCATTAGTAAAATATTGAAAAAGCACCATGTTTATGTAATGTTTAGTTATTACAGTAATAACAAAGAGTATTGTGGTATTTTTCCAGATTCAAATATTTTGGGACTTAGTAGAAATGTCAGAAGCAATATTTTACGGTGTTTCTTAACCAAAAACCTTTTTGGCTATTTCTGAGAAAGGCACTCTGGGAATCACATGGGAGGATTTTTATAGCCTCAAATATTGTTCAAATAAAAGGCTTTTTCAAGAATAACAAATTCTCCATCGCTGGAAGTAATACAACACAGGATACATTACAATTTACCAGATTTTAAAAACTTGAATTTGTAAACATGTATCATGTTTGCTCCCTAAAATAATTTCAGGCTGCTGAGTAGTACGGGAGAGTGCACTGGAGAGTGACTGGCTTAAGAGGGAAAATTAACCTCCTGTCTCAGGGAAACCCAGCAATTTCTAATTTCTTTCAAATGGTGATTTCCCACAGTTCTACAAAGACCAAAATAAGAAATTAATATGAAATTCTAAAACATTCCCTTCTCCATGTGTGTGAATGTGTTTACTCTGTATGTTCTCTTTGTAAGATATACACAGGTGCACACACACACACACACACACGTGTGTTCTTAACTTTGGATCCACCTTTCCCAGGCAAGGATTCAAACTTCCTAGATATTTCACATGGGACCTGAGTTGATAAGAGGAAAACTGTATTTTCCAGTGGTGAGGGGAGGAAGCCACTGTAGGTGTGAGGGTACTTCAAAAAGTCCATGAAGGGGAGGAAATTGGCTCTAGTAGTTACGATGCTGGTTGAGATGCCTATCAGAGCACTTGGTTTTGAGCCCTGGTCACAGCTCCTGATTCCAGCTTCCTGCTAAAGATAAGTTTATTTTGGTGCAAGAAATTTGGAAATGCATGCATAGCTTGTTCTTAGCACACATTTTCCATGAACTTTTTGAGGGACCCTTGTATGCATGGAATTCAAAAATTGTTGCATCAAAATATACTTATCTTTTAATTCCATCTCCACAAACTTTTTGCAGCACCTTGTACAGTCAGAGCTGGCCTCTCAACATGTCTTTTCCAAATCGTTCTTTGCTGGCTCCATCTTCTGGAGTTAGGTCTGCCCCTCTTAACCCCACTTCCTGTATATTTAGGCTGCTCAATACCATGATCCGTCCTTGTCTCTCTCAGAGATGAGACATCAGAGATGCTTTAACTCACAAATGTCTTCTACTGTTACTCTTCATGGCAATGGAATTCGAATCTGACAGAATATAATAGAATGCCTTCCCTTTTCTTTATTGATGTTACCTTCTGAACGCTCTCCTCTGTTCCACAAAGAGCCAATTAAATAGATGTTATAATAGTAAGCTTTATTTCTATAAAGCAAAATTCCAGTTGGAAGTTTATTTCTGCAAAAGTTAACATTCCAGCTTGAAGTTCCAATATTTGGGATGAAGTAAACAATGGAGAGATTAGGTTAAAGCTGAGTTTAACAAGAGATTTGAGGTGATTACTTCCGGTGACAGGCCATTTTGAAGGTGAGTTACAGACATCATAAATTTCTTCTGAAATGTTGTTGAGACATGCAATAGCATTGGCTCATCAGTGTTGCACATTTTTTTGGGTTCAATTTCAGGTGTAGCAGTTCAAATAAATACATTCTTGAAAGAGGATAAAAGAGGAAGGACAAACAAATTTCAGAGCTTTGCAAGCTAGGTTAGTCCAAGACTGACACAGACCAGGTTTCCAGCCTTGCACAGTTTTTTAATGATCAAATTATAGAAACTCCTGAAAATACTGCTAGGGTGGGTAATGGAAACACTGACTTTAATTTCGCGTTGACTTCCCTTCACTAATGTTATTGTTTCTCAAGCACTTGGAGTTGTCATTACACCATCAGAGCTGTAAACACAAACTCAGTTATTTTGATATTCCAGACTTGAAGTTAAGCTCTTTTTGGCAGTCACAGATATGAAATAGCTAAATGCAAAAAAAAAAAAAAAAAAGTTAAAAACCATCCTGCCTATCAGCATTGTACATTTTGAATGTTTTCTCCATGATCAAGCTCTTGGCAAATTAAAATGAAATTGACCAGACAGATTAGGTTACCAATCTTATTCAAATAGTATTCAAATTCAAGACCGCCAAGTGCTCATTTATATGTATTTAATTTTGTTTTGCTAATGACTTCTTTCCCTATTTAAAATTCCTACCCTCACCCTCCTTAGAGCAAAAGCTCCCAGCATCTTTCAGGAATCTGACACGTGTTTGTGGGACAACAGTAGCATTTATAAATATTGAGTCATTGAAAGTTCTCCTTCCCCCAGAGTCCTGTGAATATTAACGGGCAGTAGTAAAGACTTTCTCAAACCACTCTGTTTGGTTTTTGACCAGCTAGCAGACTTGTTAAAGGTGCCATTGTGCAGAGCTGAAACTCAACACCACCCCTTTCTCCCTCTCACTTTCTTCTTTTCATTTCTAAAACGGGGTTCTCAAAAGTAAGACAGGAATCCATGGAGCAGAGGAGACCTCTGTAAGCCTCACTCAAACACGTGTTGTGCCGCTTACTAAAATATTGACCTTCCATCACAACTGTGCTACTTAAATAAATGCAAACCCGGTTTCAATTATGTCATTACAGATTAT